TATGGTCAGTCTTTCAGTTCGCTTTACAAGTTGCGCAGCACACAAATCAACTTCATTAGGATCGGGAGTTACAAATTAATAGCGAAATAAAATTGCCAAATCTTTTAAAAAGTAGTTTCTTCGGACACTCACCGAACTTTCAGTGGAATCAGCCATTGTTTTAATTTCCATGAAGGATCTTAAACTTATGGCATGTAAGATCAAGTATGTAATATCTGTTCAATATTAATATCTGAAACTATTTCAACCTCAATTGCCTGCTTCAATACATCTTTACCTTGCTAATACGTAAGTATCATAAAATCATTTGCACTTGTGATATCGTGATCGTTTCATTTATGATGATGCATTGCTGATATACTATGATATTGACAATTAATTTCGATTCAAATTGATTTTACTATTGTTCACTATTCAAATGTGGATCATTTAACTAGCAATAGTTATTAGTTACTAATATAAAATTAGGCTGAGGTCCCGATTAAGGAACCATAAAAGATCTGACATTAGATGTTTCCGAAAATAAAATTTCAAAAATCGAAACCATTTTTATGCAAACTTCGCGTTTGTTATCATGCTAATCTATTATTAATTCATTACGATGAACATTTCAACAATTTTGTCTTTAAATTTTGCCATTTGACTAGCGCAGAAACAGCTAAATCATAAACAAATGCATTCACTCTGTAGCTGATTTGCTCTGGTTTCGACCATTACAGTCAAATTGGCAGACGTTAGTCAATCTTTCAATTCGTTTTACCAACTTACAATCAGCTTTATGAAACGCATTTTGTAAATGATCGAAATTCATTCAGGATTGCGAATTGATTGTGATGAAAATCAACTTTGAATTTCATTTTTAAAGCATTCAGTTTTCGATCAATTTTATACCAACATTGTAAATTGTTTTTCATTGTTGAAGTCATATGTGATCAAAATGCTGCATTATTTGTCTCTCTACAACATCCCTAACTTGCTGAAATTTCCAAATCTTCATGAGGACTTTACTGAGTGTTTATTCAAAAAATGATCAATTAAGAAAAGAAGCAGTTATTGCGGCTTTAGTAGAGTAGCAACGATAATTTTGCTTCGAGAGAATCTCAATTTAATTTATCAAAGGTCCAATATTAAAAATGAATAGCATTAGTTGATATGTTTTCTAAGATTAATAGAAGAAAAAAGTTTAGAGTTTGATCAAAATGACATCTTTACTCATCTTACCGATAAGCCAAAGCATTTCTCAAGAGTCACAAAGTCTCCGATTTTGATGCCATTATAGGGCCAAGCAGCTCGATCCATTAACTCCAAAATCTGTACAAAAATGTATTATCATCAAAGCAACAAAGCAATCTATCTAATTTTATTTTGTTAAGTTTAATAATTATTCAACAATACAATACATAATCAATAAGCATGGAGTAAAATTCAAAGCTATAAAATACTCAGTTTTTTGTTTTGGGGCTTTTTTCAAAAATTAATTTGTGATGTTCTAAATATCATGATGAAGGTTTACCCGGAAAGATTGAGACAACGTTTGTAGATACATATGTTACATATATACATATGTTTGTTGATTCGTCGCTGATTTTTAGTCTGAACTTTTATAAGATTCTAAATAAGGCCCAATGTTGCAAATGAATAGCATTAAAGTTGATATGTTTTCTAAAATGAACTGGAAGAAACAGAATTAAGAGTTTAATCAAAATGATCTCTTTACTCATCTTACCGATACGAAAAACCGTTTCTCCAGAGTCACAAAGTCTCCGATTTTGATGCCATTATACGGCCCAGCAGCTCGATCCATTATCTCCAAAATCTGTATACAAAAGTCACATACAAGTTCCTTAATCTTTTCATCTTAATGATGCGCACATGCAATATTTACCTTGTTTGGTGTGTAGATCGTAAGTTTGCTCTTGGATAAATGATGCAGTTTAACTGTTAACTTATTGAGCTGTTAGAAAACAGATAAAAATCAATGAAATATCGGACGTTTCTTTATCTTCCTACCTGTTTGGGTTAATAACTCGAGAAACACTCATATTAGAGAACTGAGAGTTGGACAAGTAATTTTCCAAGCTGAAGTACCACATGGACTTTTTCTCTGTTTCATTTGAAAATTTGATCCATAAACAACCTGAAAAAGCGATTTTCGGAAAAAGCAATTTTTCGCATACGCATTGTATACTTATCACAGTAGTTCTATCGAGAGTAGCTAAAAAGGTTCATCTATGAACTATTACATGGGTTCTTCTGGATTCATAACTCGTTAATTGCTACTAGATATTAAATGTTATAAGTGTCATTTAGTGTGTCCTTTGCGCTTTCAGAAAGTAACCTTTCAATGTCGTTTATATGATGTCGATAAATAAATAAACTTGAGGCCTTCCTACACTGGCACTTGAATTTAGAAAGCCCCTCTGTTCAATTCTCAGTTCTCATATATCAAATCATCTCAAAATAGGAACTTAAACAGTCAGCAAAAGAAAAAGCGATTCTAAATTACCTGAAAGATGAAATTTCCAAAAATTAAACCAAAAGTTCCAAGAGCTAGCAGAATAAAAGAACCGAGGATTGTGAATAGATTAGCAAAAAAATTATTGTAAACTTTAACAACCACTCCAAGAAAAATGTCGAAATCTCCTGCGGCTGAAATGAAGAAAAAATAATACAACAATGTATAGCGCAGCTTGTGAGAAGCCGCTTCAAAATTGTTGAGGTGACGAATGATTGACACACAAAATGATCGGAGTTGCTTTTCATCAACTGGACAGTGATTCAAGTCATCGGCAGAATCCAATAAATCATATAAACGGTAGAGGTGAAATTGAAAAGAGCACATTATGTACCATAAGAATCCAATAGAAGCATTTACATGGAGAGTAACAGCAAAGATGCATGAAAATGACCAGAGCACACCGAAAAAAGCCAATCTAGGAACTTTATATGTCCAAGGATTGGTTAGCAATGTTGTGAGGAACATTAACGATATGAGTAGAGGAATGAAAAGCATTACGTTATGTAAAATAATAGACTGCAAAAAGATGGTGAAACGAAATCTTTTGTTAAGCGAAAGCAAGAAGATTGTTCATTTGCAAGTTGGTCGAGTCGAAACCATTGAAACAAACTTTCCATGCAGACAACATTTCGAATCTTCCTTTGGCATTGAGATTCAAAATCGATTCTCGAAAAATAAACATCATTCCAATCGCCACTGTAGCGTATAACGATAAAACTTGACCATCTTTGATGCGAAAAAATGGATCGCCAAGGTAAAACGTGACAGAATCACTTGAAGTGAAACTTAGTACACCGAATCTGATCACATTCATCAAGCAATTGGTTGTTATGAACCAGTCCATTTATTTGTATCGACGATAACCAAACGCATTCACTCGAGATGAGTTGCTTTGGCTTCGACCATCAAAGTCAAGTTGAAAGACAATGGTCAACCTTTCTGTTCGCTTTACTATTTTACAAACAGCTAACTCAAATTCATATGAATTGGGAAGTGTAAACGAATAACTTGACTTTTCCAAATTTTTCAAAATGTATTTTTTCTGTTTACCCAAAACATTTAAGGCTTTGGTTGCCATTATTTGTTTTTCATCGAGAATTGAAACTTGATTGTCATAGAATTGAACGTTTTGATCAATTTTATTTCTAACTTTGTAAATTGTTTTTCATTGTGACGGTTGCTCATTCACAAACAATTGATTCAAATGTACTCTTATTTTTCGCTGCTATTCAAATGTCATACTTTGATAAATAATTCAAGTAATCATTAGAGCAACATCATTACATAACTTATAATTTAATTTTTCTCCGAACGGTATGATTGATTAGAAACTAAATTGATTTTAAATTATTGATCGTTTAAGCTCAACGCTAGTTTAAGTTTTTGAGTAAAAGACAATAAAATCATGGCTAAAGCAATCATTATGCTCTTAATGATTCTTTTGGTAGCAAGTGAAGTGGATTGCAATTCAAACAGCACAAAAATAACGAATCAAAAAAAGTTCGATTAGCCAAGAATCACACATTAAATTATTTCAATTTAAACATTTCTTCGCTAAGGATGTTCACATACTTTGATGGCCATTCCACGAAATGACAGATTCAAAAAACCATTGATTAACAGATGTACTTACGTTAGATTACTTGAGTGATGCACGAATCGGTTGGTAGAATGCTGTGAAATTTTAATATTATAATACATTAATTTCATTCAAAAGTACTTTCAAATTAGATTTATATAATAATGATACAATTACTTTTTACGATAATTACCAAAAAATTTATGAATTATTGAGTTTAGACTATGTTCGATGCTGGAAAAAAACTTTAATGAGCAATTTTTGTGTAGTTTTCTGTTATAAAAATTGGGTTATAGATTTTTGATAGATTATAGTGATGAGTAAAATCCAATCCATAGCAAAATGAGTAACCTGACGTGAAAGCTAAAGGTGCTAGATGCATTGATAAAATCGCTGAATTTCTATTACCATTAAAATGTGATTAAATTCGAATTTAAACAGCCAAAATAACTGATTTATTTGATGATTCTTCATCTGTGTTACAATGGTTAAAATGTCAACATCACTTTCAAATCAATGAATGTCTTGTTTCCAATGGTTTTGGTCCATACGATTGTTGAAAAAATCGTGATATTATCATATTAATGCAACAAAGGGCCAATGTTAACAGTAAATAACATTAAAATTGATATATTTTCTGCAATAAACTAGAAAAAATAAATTAAATTTTGCAAAAAATTATTAAGTTGAAGCAAAATTTTTGATCAACTCATCTTACCAGTATGAAAAACCGTTTTTCGAGAGTCAAAAAGTCCCCGATTTTCAATCCATTGTATGGTCCGGCAGCTCGATCCATTATTTCCGAAACCTGTATAATAAGGTGAGACGCAAACAATTCACAAGTTTTTAATCTACTTTTAACTCCAATCAATAATTATACTTTTCTTTACCTTGCTTACTGATTGTATTGAAAGTTTATGCCTGCAGCTCAGCTGGTGCAGTCTGACTGTCAATCTACCAAGCTAATGAGAATGAGATGGACAACAAGTCGATATCGTTGCAAATAGAATCGGAACCTTGAACTTTTCTGAAATTGAAAACTCGCAAATAGCACAAGATCCAAACTCTACGTAATATTTAGGTAATTATGTTCATTTCATCTTTAATTCACATTCAATAACTAATAGTTTTGACCGACCGTAGTGAGGAAAATGTAAAAACAAAGTTCATTACCTAATATTAGAGTGAAGCTTGTGCCATTTATCAGTTATCATCCCTTAATTACTTTGGTAAGGAAACTTCCGAAAATGAGGCCTAAAATTCCAACAGACAAAAGAATGGAGAAAGCACCGATTGCAAGCAAATTGCAAAACAAACTATTAACAATTCTGATAATAGTACCAAGGAAAATGTCAAAATCACACAAACAAGAGATAACAAAAAAATAGCACAACAACACGTAGCGCAACTTGAACGAAGCGGCTTCGAAATTATTTAGATGTTGAATGACTTTTGGGCAAAATAACTGCATATCTTTTTCAGCAAACAATCCATGCTTTGAGTTATTCAGTAAAATGTCAGCGTAATCAATTAGATCACGTAATCGATAGAGATGAAAGTAAAGTGAGCACATGATATACCAGCCGAATCCCATGATTGCATTAATGGTAAAACCAAGCGATAAACTAAACGTAGGTGACCATAAAAGAGCGAAAAAAGCCAATTTAGGATTTTGGTACATCATAGGATTAGCCAGTACAAGTGAAAAAGACAAAAGTGTACAGAATGGAGGGAATATCAGCATAACCCAATAAATGGTTAATGAGACTAAATATATGGTAAAACGAAATCTTTTGGTATTGAGTTCATTCATCTGTAAGTCAACCGGGTTGAAGCCATTACGACAAACTTTCCATGTAGACAGAACTTTGAACTTTCCTTTGGCTTCAAGAGTCAGAAGCCATTCTCGAAATAAATACATTACTAATATTGCCACTGAAATCCACAATAATAAAACATGACCATCTTTAACTCGAAATAAAGGATCACCGAGGTAAATGGCAACCGAATCATTTGTATTTTTACCAAGTATTCCGCACCTTATTACAGTGATGATACAAGAGATCGTTATCAGCCAATCCAGCCAATTAAATCGACGAAAGCCAAACGTATTTACTTCAACAGAGTCACTTTGGTTCAGACCATTGCGGACAATTTGAAAGAAGATTGTCAACCTTTCTGTTTGTCTTATTTTGTTACAAACGGTTTCGTCAAACTCCTTCGAATTGGGAATTTCAAACGAATAAATCTTTCGAAAGAAACTTTTTTGCTGACTCAAAACACTTCTAACTTTAGCAGCCATTATTTTCTTGAATTCATTTCTTTGCTTCGTTCAATGAAATATGGAAAACTATGAAAAGTCTAATGCATTACAAGAATAATTCTCTTGTTGTTATGCTTCTCAAGAGATTTTCTTTTCAATTAATTGATTTGCAAATTATTGATTGTTTCAATTTCAATTGCTTTTTTTGATTCTAATCATCGTTATAGTCTTCAATATGAAGTGCATTGTGAAAATCGGAAAATAATTAAAATATAATAAAAAAGTTAGTTGAAATCATGAACATTCAATTGAAAAATGTCATGCATGGAAATGAATGAAAATATTGTTATTTCTTGTCATTGACTCAAATCCTTATTGCACTTCAATTGAATCAATCCAAACCAGTATATTAGTTCTAACTTATTATTATCAGTCGAGACAGTAATCAGCGTTAGAAGTGCTAGGAAAAGAAAGAAATGTTCAATGAAAATGCACGCTTCACACTCTTTTAAATTTCTAGTAATCAAAAGATTCTTTAACCAGACTAACATAACGCTACTTCACACACAACAAAGCTAGTTCTTTGCTTCTTGAGTCAGTAGTTGATTTGCAAAAATCAATCATAATTCATGTCCAAGCAGACATATTGATACTTTTGCTTGCATGATTTGCGAGCAAAATAATTGAACAGCTTTTTAGCAAACAAAGCGTAAGAGTTTTCTACTGAAAAAGTAGCACAACTCAATTCAATTGATACAGACAAAACATTGAATTTTCCTTTAGCTTCAAGAGTCATGAGCCATTCTCAAAATACAGTAGTAATTTTGTCACCAAACATAATAACAATACATAGCCTTTTGTATCACGGCAAAATACCATTCCTAAGGTAAACGGCAACCGAGTCATTTATGATTTGATTTTACTTTGAATTTTATACTGGCGTTTTCTTTCATTTGACGCCTGTTTGCAGGCATAACTTATGGCAGTTGATGCTACAGATCTCAGAATTGAACCATGAGCTTTCGCAGATTGCAACATGAGATTAAGCTTTCTACAATTCTAGCACCATTTTTACTCTGCAAGCAGCCACAAATGTTCGAGCGTTAAGTGTCAAATGCAGTCAAAAGGGTATACATTTATTGTCAGCATCATCAGTTCTTTAACCATCTTCTGCGTTATTGAAAAGCTTATAAAATATTATAAAGTATATAAGCATAAATACTAAATCTATTTTTCTAAATGAGATTGAATGCTCTTGTGAGTTTTTTGACATTGACGCAAACTAAAATCATATGTTATACTTCAATAATAGTAGCTCTAAGTAATGTAGTTCATGAGTTATTGATACTTATATTTCATGATAGTTACTTCTTTTTTGCGATAACTGTTGTTCATATAAAAAAACTGTCGATTAGCCGAACTACAATTTTGATGCTAAGCTTAAATACGGAGAATCAACCCACTAGACTTATCAGTTTTGTGGTCACCTGTTCCGTATGAATAGCCTTTCGTTCTGGTTTACCATGTTCTGATAGAGTTCATCTGGTATAACGTTCTAATATTATAGAGCTTTGTGATAATATGCAAGAAGGCAAGGTTTTGTATGAGAACTGAAAGCATAGATACAGAATAAATGTAATAATGTACATGTAATACATGTAATACCAGAATCCCAATACCCTTATCAGGCTACGAAGTCAGGCAGTTTAACTCAAAAGTGTGAATTTGCGACTATAGTCCTTTGTATTTTTACATATGCAAAACAATGCTGCAGGGAATATGTTTTTATAGTTAATTCCCTTAACGAGTCTCTGAAATAGCCGCGATTGATAAACCCGATGCAATCCATCTCAAAATGGTTAACTTGACGTAAAAATACTAAAAGGTGGTGTATGCATGGATAAAATCGCTTAGTTTCTATTACCATATAAAATATGTTTAAAGGACATACTGCAAAAACTTCAACTTTTGAGTTGCGAGTAGAGACTTAGATTGTAGGAGCATGGAAACTGAGTCCAATAGTGCCATTAAAAATTTTTCAGATCCACCGTTTTTGAGAAAATCGAGGTCAAAGTTGAAACTTCGATTGCCTTTTGTACAGTTATGTGACAAGATTTTTTCATCAAAATCATATTTGTAATAGATGTAACAATAAAAACCAAACCAATATCGGACAGACCAGATCATAGGGAATTAATAGACATATGAATTACGATACACAATTTCATATCCGGTCATTTATTCAATTTTAATTGTAGTATTCATTTCGCAAGACTACATAGAAATAGCATTAGATTTGATAACTTCCCTCACCAATTCGATGACAAACAGAATTCATTCGTGCCTTGACGCTGATGAAGCTCATACAAAATATCGGCACTAATAAATTATTGTTCAGCAGACATCATAAACTGATTAATTTAGTTTCAAATTATTTGATCAATTGTTGACTGAGTGACGATCAATTGATTGACTGTCAGTTTTTTGAATTATACTGTAATGTGGATCTATGGTGAGATGGTAAAATCAGGTTTTTAATATTTCTTAATGGATGAACATTGCATTCAATAGGCTTGACTATGCAAAATTGATACTTTGACACCCTTTAGCTTTTGAACAGGGAATTTTCGAAACGAAGTAAATAACGCTTTTTCATAAGTCAACATGCTCTATCGATTAGCACATAAATCATTTCTAACCGTAGCGTTTGCGAACCTTCCTTTGTTAGAAGGTTAAACATGGCAAAAACTAGAAGAACGAAAACACCAGTGAATTTGAAAACGAATCACTGTAACTTCATATGACAGTACTAATGGCCAAAATCACCTGCTGAAGTAGAGAAAAAAATAAGAAAATAAAAGGTAGTTTGACTCGTAAAAAGACGCGTTTAGTGTTAAAAAGTTGCTTTAGTTTAGCTTTAAGTCAACCATACTTTAATAATCGTTAAAATTAAAAATTAATTGTCACGATTGCTATAAAACTGAATACATTTTTAATTAAATGATTGTAAAATTGAATGACATCCAACATGAAACACCAAACAATTCGAGCTACGTTCTAAATATCATACTTAAGGTTTACTCGTTACAAGAAAAAAATGTTTTTTGATAGATGTTCATCCGCCTTTGATTTTTAAGCTGAACTATTCGAAGACTCCAAAGAAGGTCCAATGTTGCAAATGAATAGCATTAAAAGTGATATGTTTTCTAAGATAAACTAGAAGAAACGGAATTAAGAGCGTAATCGGAATCGAATCTTCACTCATCTTACCGTTATGGCAAAGTTTTTCTCAAGAGTCACAAAGTCTCCGATTTTGATGCCATTGTAAGGCCCGGCAGCTCGATCAATTACCTCCAGAACCTGTACAAAAAGATCAGATGCACAATATTTGCCAGTTTTGAATTAACCTGTGATTTAGTTTGAGTTCTGTTTTGCAGTGTTTTAGTTTATTTCAAATTGAGCAAACATCGCGAACTAATTGACTTAAATTATTATTAGTCATGTTCGCTGCTGCTCTTATCACCAAAATTACCTTGTTTGCTGAGCCCATCGTAAGTCTGCTCTTGACGGATAGTTGGTGCAGCTTAACTGTTAACATATTCAGCTAAAGGAGAAAAAGAGTTAACAAATCACCCAAAATCTATGCTAAATTACCTGTGAGATGAAATTTCCAAAAATTAAACCAAAGACTCCAAGAGATAGCAGAATCAAGAAACCAAGGATTGCGAGCAAATTCGCAAAAAAGTCATTGTAAACATTAACAATCATTCCAAGAAAAAGATCGAGATCGCCCGCCAAAGCAAAAATTGATAGATAATATAACATTAGATAGCGAAACTTGTGTGAAACAGCTTCAAATTTGTTAAGAGAACGAATGATCTCCACAGATAATGATCTAAGTTGCATTTCATCGACCAATTGGCTGTGCAAGTGATTGGCAGATTGTAATAGATCATATAGTCGAAAGAGATAGAAGTAGAATGAGCAAACTATGTACCAGAAGAATCCACATGCAGTATTCAAAAGAAAGGCGAAAGCGAAGATCGAAGTAAAGGACAAAAGAAACCCGAAAAATGCTAATTTAGGGATTTTGTATATCCAAGGATTGGAAGCTAATGGTACAAATATCAATAATAATGAAAGGAGAGGAATGAAGAGCATCACGCTGTACGCGAAAATAGAAAATAAAAAGATAGTGAAACGAAATCTTTTGGCAACAAGATTGTTCATTCGCAAGTTGGTCGAGTCGAAACCATTAAAACAAACTTTCCATGTAGACAATATTTCAAAGCTTCCTTTTGCATTGAGATTTAAAACCCACTCTCGAAAAATAAACATCATCCCGGTCGCCATTGCACCCCACACCAATAAAGCTTGACGATCTTTAACACGAAATAATGGATCTCCAAGGTAAATTGCAACCGAATCACCTGTGTTGAAACACAGTACGCTGAATCTTATCACATGTATTATGCAGTTGATTGTTATGAACCAGTCCATCCATTTGTATCTACGATAACCAAACGCATTCATTGCAACAGATTTGCTCTGATCTCGACCATTAAAGTCAAGTTGAAAAACAATGGTCAACTTTTCTGTTCGTTTTAATTGCTTACAAACAGCCAAATCAAATTCATTTGAATCGGGAACTGTAAACG